GATGCCATTTTTAAACAGCGAAATCATACAAGTATACGTAGAAAATGGGTGATTAACCTCGATCTAAGAGTACTTCCCACTATGACTCAAATGCAGACAATAAAAGAAAAAGTAATATACATCACTACATTTAAATATAAACTTTAAATGTCCTATAAATATAAACAAAATGTCCTACAATAGAAGTCTAAATAACTGACAAACAAGAAGAAAATATTTGCAACATACAATACAGCTAGCTAAAATCACTAATATATGGAAAACACTCGAAATATGATAGAAACGGGGGAAAGATACAGTTTAAATTAATCTTTTTGTACTTTTTTATTTGTGTGTGTACATCATACATATACATAAACACATATATATAAATACCTTGAACATGATGTGTATATATAGAGAGACACACACACATATATACCTTGAACATGGTATATATATATATATATAACATATATGTGGTATGTATAACATATATATACAGAATTTGAACATGGTATATATATAACATATATGTGGTATATATATAACATATATATACAACTTGAACATGGTATATGTATACATATTTCATATATGTGATGTATAACATATATATAACATATATATACATATATATATACCTCGAACAGTGCTGAAAAACATTATGTTAACAATTCTCATCTACCTATCATACTGGTGGAAAGTCAGCAGTGGTCAGGCTAATAGAGGAAGTAGGCGCTCTCATACAATTCTGTGATGGAAACCTGCACACCCGTCCTGGAAAGGAATTTGCCAGTGCCGAAATAAATTAGAAACTGATTTTCCTTTGACTCCAAATCTCATAATAAAATGCATTGTGTGACGGTGAAAAAAGGAAGGACAACAGAAGAGACACTGTTGCAACTGTGACACCTGCCTTATATAAAGCTGCAGTAGTCCACGGGCAGCAATCAGAAACATACATCAGTACAGAAGTCCCAATAAATAGCACTCTGTTAAAACAAGAAAAAATGGCCACATTCAGTTGCCTTGTCATGTAAGGAGGAAGTAAAAATATACACGTATCAGTTTATTTGTGCAAAAAATAAAGCACAGAATAAGATAAACTAATGAGATCGGGACTGTGTAGGAAGCAGGAAAGTCTGGGCAATGAGCGTGAGCACAGAAAGGTAAAGGTGTTTCTTTGGGTAGCTCTTCTTGCATAATTGTAATGTAGAATTCTGTTAATGCTTCACATACTCAAAAAAAAAATACCTTAGTATAATACTTTAAAAATGTATCCCAGTTAAAAACAAAACAAAACAGGAGAAAGCAGAAGTGTCCCAGCAGTCTCCTCCACCAAGGGCCAGCCAGACACTTCAGATCAGTCTTCTGGGTGCTCTACAACTATCTCAAGCCCAATGAGGCAGATCCTGTATCCAACAAATATTTAAGGAGGTCTACTTTGGGGGCTGCTAATGTCAGCCCCAGGGGTACAGCTGTCACTGGGGACCCCCAGCTCAGAAGGAGCCCCAGAGGGGCAGAGTTCTCTGGTTACACTAGTTACAGAAAGTGGGTGTGAGCGACCAGGGCTATTAGCACCAGAAGTGACTAGGAATCTCCCTGTTGTGTCAAATTTTATAGCGATAATTCCTTGGCTTTAAGAAAGTCAGAAAGAAATAGAGGGAGAAATGACTTTTGTTAACTATGAATGAGAAACGGTTCAATACATATTGTGCACAGACTGTGCAAGAAAGTAGCTTAAAAGTCTGTCTTCCCTGCAAGACTTGAATAAGACAAAAGGACTGAGGCTCCTCATTTCCTAAGTATGCACAGCGAGGCACCCAGTATTGGTTTGAAAGTTTTATTTTGTGATCTGCTGACTCTATCTCACTTTGACACCAGAAATGACAACGTCCTGGCTCAAGGGCAAAGGAGGGGCACACAGGCGCTCACGCACTTGCACACACAGGCAGCCATGCACCACCCAGGGCTCAGCCCCGATCCTGCCTAAGTGCTTGCCACTGCCGACTTTTCCGCTCTAGCCTCAGGCCTGGCTTATGCTTCCACCTTCCCGGATACTTTAGCAAGTGGCCTGTGGCCATAATTCTTCTTAGGCCTTGAGGGCGATCGCTGTCGCAGTTCCAGCTGACTTGGAAAGAAGAGTCCGTGTTATTTGTTCCACCGTCTTGAGGGAGCCGGGAGCAAAATGAGGGGTGAACAGGCTGCGGCGACTCCCCGAGAGCCAGATCTGGGCCAGAGCTGGGTGCTAGTGATGCGCACCGGTTCCCCTGCAGGGCTGAAAGACCACGTCCAGCAGTTTAGCCTAAGCAATGGCCCAAGTGTCTCTTTCAGGGTCTGTGGGAGCTGGAGCCCAGGGCAATCTTTGCTTAAGGAAAATGGTGGGAAGGATTTCTATTTACAAAATCTCCCTTGATCCTTGCCACGAACTAGGTCAGAAAGTCAATACTGGGAATCTGGGGGTAAGATTTGAATTCAAGACTTCTAATGTCAAGTCTCTCCCAAAGCACCCTTTCTTCTACCACTGCGCAGAGCTAGACAGTCCTCAGCCGCCAAAGAAAAAAGCGTTCACAGGCTTACAGCTCTATGTTTTTATCTAGAGTCGCTTCCACCCCAGCTTGGAAGGTGAGTTGGGACCCAAGGGGTGCAGTGTATTTCGCTTTCGTAGGAATGAAGAGATTCTAAATTCTCTTTTTTCTGGATGTCAGGGATTGTTGAAAACACCAGGCTAAAGGACATTTGCTTTCACCTCTGGGAGTAGGAGGATAGGACAGTAGTATTTTCTAGGGAGGAGTGGGATAATTAAAATATTTGGTTTATTACTTTTTTTCTACATTTATTCAGAGGAAATGATCCAAAATGTTCACAAGGATGAAGGCAAAAAGATGTTCTCTGAAGTATTATTTACAATGATGGGGAAAATGGTTTATGAAAGCATAAACATGACCATCATATGGACTATTATAGTGAGATTCTAAAACATGTTTCCAAAGCTCTTTAATGAAATGCTGCGCGTGGTTATGAAGCAAAATTAAAATATATTGACTCATGTAGATCCTCTGAGCTCAACTTTGCAAAAAAAGAAAAAAGAAAAGCAGTAGAGAGAAGCATGTATGTGAAATGTTATCTCTAGATGGATTGGCGTTTTTTTTCCATTTTTTTCCCAAAGTGTGCACAGTGCCTTTTTACAATCACAAAATTAATGGATGGGACATTGCCAGACTTCTACATCTCTGAGGGTGAAGCATGGCTATCTTTTACAGGAAAGATGTTAGGTTTGTAGAGAGAGTTCCGTTTTGGGAAAACAGGCGTGGCGCCTGTCATTGACAAGCCAGCCAAGATTGGAATGGCTTAACCTCTTTGATCCCAGCTCCTGCCTGAAAAGAAGAAGAAGCAGCCAGAAACACCTGGAGTAGTTTGCAGGTAAAGATTAAGTGATACAACATATAAGAAATCACCACTTCTCTTAACCATCAAACTTGCCCAAATTATGCACCCCCTAGCTTGAGAGAAGGAGTTCAATTTAGCTGCGTTTCAGGAAAAATAATGCCCAGACCATTCTGGCAAAACTGAATTTACCTAAGGATGTTTATTTTTTAAGAAACATTTGCTCTGAACTTCCAAAAAGACTAGCAAAAAAAAAGACTGATTAAAAAATATATATCTATTGTCAAAGTCTTACAGCTCTTCACTGGAGCAGCTCAGCCGGCACATTTTCTAGATCCAGGCAGCATGATTACAGAGCCGTGGACTTTTCGTTACTGGTTTCCTACACGCTCCTTTCTCGCTTAATTCTCAGGGTCATCCTGCCGCGGGCTGTTCTTGTGTCCGGCAGATGAAGCCGGAGCTGAGTAAGGAAATGTGGGCGCACAGCCCACAGTTGCTAGGTCTCAGACCAGGGCTAGAGCTGGTCACTCCCACCCCGTCCGTCCTCAAACCCCCGCGCCGCCATGACCCCTGACTGGTGGGTTAAAGGAGTTTTTCTGAAATCTGATACTGGTCAAAATCTCCCACCCCTGGGCGGACGACGACCAGTGTTTACACACACACACTCATACACATTCACACTCACACAAACACACGTGTGTGCGACAATAACTATGAGGCGGGAGAGAAGGGAAGGGAGAAGGAACTTAGTGACTGGAAGGGCAAGGGGAGCCTGACACGTTCGCGCAGGTGGGCAGAGATATTTTCTTCTCACGCACCCAACTACTCGAGAGCCTGTAACAGGCTCGGAACCACCGCCTTCCCCATTAACGTTCCCAGCCCCCTTCGCTCTCTGGGTTGAAATGCGACTCAAGGGAAGTGGCGGTCCGGAGACCCAGCGAGCCTAAGGGGGGCTTTTCCGCCTCAGTCTCAAGCCTCGTTCTTCCCCAGCGATCTCGCCTCTCTTCGGGAAGCAGTCCGCCATCGCCTGGCCCCAGCTCGGTGCCCACCAAAACTCCTGCGTACTCCGCAAATCTCCGCGGGAGCCCAGCAGCCTTCCCCCTCCGTTTTCTTCGGCGTTAAGAGTGGAGAGTTGAGCTAAAGTAGGCGGAGCCGACAGATCTGCTGGCTGACCGAGTGAGGCTCCACCCCATCCTCCCCCTTCCTGCACCTCCCCCACCCCTGCACACCCTGGCTGGACCCCAAGCGGGTTTGTACTGTATTCGCCGAGATCTGAGACGCACCACGCTGTCTCTTCCATTTCCCTTGTTTTTGAGAACCACCTATACGAACCAAGACGTCCGGGAAGATGACTGGGAGAAGAAAGGAATTAGAAGGACGCGGGAAGAGAGCGCTTGGGGTGGAAGGTAGTTATTAGCACGTGGTTACTGCGTGAACCAATGGCGGTCGGCGATCTCAACACTAGGTCCTGGTCACCCAGCGGGCAGGGATGGCCCAAAGGAAGGTGCAGGCAGGGGAGCTGGGCGCATGTCCCAAAGCTTGCTGCCTCCCTGGCAAGCCGACTGGAAGCTCAAGGCATCTTGCCTCGTGGAAACCCAGGACTCCCCAGCCCCTCGCTCTCTGCCTTCGGGATGCTTCTGAGCCCTGGCATCTCCACCCCCTTCTCGGTCACTGACATCCTAAGGTTGGAACTCGAGCAGACTGGCCCTCAGGCCTTGCCACTGCAGGATGCGCGAAGCAGCCAGGAGAGCGCTCAGTACTTGCGATTGAACCCAGAACGCGGAGGGTCAGAGTTTAACAACTGTGGTAGCGGTAGCGGTAATGGTGGCAGCAGCGGAGACAGAAGGCAAGAGGAGACTGAGCCCCCTGGATGTCTCTGTGGTGTATCAGAGATGAATGACCAGCAACGGGTGGGAGTGCCACGTGAGTATGTGCTGGGGGCTTGGCTCCTACCTGGAGATCAATGGGAGCCCCGCATGAGACAAAGCATCTCCTTGTCTTCTGACTCTAAGGCTATTAGGCCCATCTTCTGTCACTGGAAAGTCCAAAAGACAGGCCTCCCAGCTTCTGCTGCCTCTTCACACACCCAGTGTACTGCACTGGCCCCTAATGAAAATAAGGTCCTGAATCTAAGGGGTTCACTGTTCCCACAGCCTGTCCTCTGACTCCCACACACATGCAGCACCCATGCCTCAGTCCCCAGGAACTCCAGCTTCTCTTGCTTACAGTATGTATCATAGCAGCATCCCATCATCACCATCCTTCCCTGCCATTTCTGAGTCTCTAACAAAGCAGTTGGGCCCTTTGGAAGTTATCCAAGCCAGCTCTTCCATGGGGCTTGCCCAGAGGCCTGGCTAGCCCAATTATCCTTCTTTCCTAAAAGAAAGTAGTAAGCCAACCAGGAGAGGTGAGTTCCTGGGCTTGGAGGACTCTGGGCAATGACCACCATTGTTCTTCCTCTGGGAGTTGGGTAAGGGCTGTGAGACTTTTGGCTGCCCAAAGAGGGGACTCTGGTGGTGTCTGTTCACCTGGCTTCCAAAGGGTGCAACCTCCTGCACTGCCAGTGAGGCCCAACACTTGCCTCCAACCTCCTAGGTGGGCAGGGGTGGGTGGGCAGTGGCTTTTGGTTAACTCCTGCAACTTGGGAAGCTTTGGTGGGAGAGGCCTAGAAAAGTCAATTTCATCCCACCAAAACTCTGGGCCTCTATCAGGAGCCTGTGGCTGACGGGGCCACTCCCCAACCCCCACCCAAGCAGCTGGGGTGGGTATGTGTGGTTTGGGGTTTCCGGGGTGCCCTTCCTCTCTCAGGATGTGCTGGAGTCCCTCACCCAAGGCACAAAGTAACCAAATAAGTGAAGGGAAGAGGCTAAGCTGCAGTTCAGTCTTGCACTTTCAGGCTGGTTAGTTACTGACTCCAGGAGCATGGAGAACATTAAACTTCCCTGCGCTTGAAGAAGCCTGTGGGTTTTCCGCAGCAGACTATAAACCCTAGCGTTCCCTGGGTGTCTGCGCAGACAAATCCGTATTCAGTTCAGCACCAAGAAAGGGTCATGCTTCTTGGAGCACAGTTATCACCTCGCAGCTGAAGACTGGTAGAAGAGCTTCCCCGCTGCTGGGAACCCCTGGCCAGCATGGACCCCACACGACCCCACGAAGAGAAGGGGGCTACCTCTGAGGTCCAAGAACCAAGCTCAGGCAGGGGAGCAGGATCCTCGCAGGAGAGGACTGTCCTGACAAACAGCAACACTGAGGCCTCATCGCCTCATCCACTTCATCCTTTCCAACCCACCGCGCTTTCAGGAAAGCTGGGGGAGAGTGCTGTGATTCCCAGCCGTGTTACTAGGGATCCTTGGGGTGCTGACATGGCCCTCCTTCTGTGTCTTCCACACTTTCAAATGTTGTTCTGTTTGTTCCAGAGAGTCGCTGAAGGTCAGTTGTTAACTTTTCTATTTGCAAGGAAAACCTCCTCAATATGTTTTTTTTCTCTTTGTGAGGTGAGATGTCCTTGGTTTCTCTGAGTTGTGACTTTTCTGAAGAAAGATTTTATTTCTTTAAGCTTTCAATACAAACAGCCCCAGGAGGTTGTTCTAATGGGATTTGAAATCGTGATCCAAGCTGGCTCTAATCAGGGTTGTCCTCCAGCCTCACCAAGAGCTTGCATCCCTTCCACATTTCTGGTTTTCTCCTGGCACGAGCCATCATAAAAATTCAAGGTTTCCTCTCTACTCACCCTTGGATTAAAACAGTTTAAGTGAAGACAAGGAGAGGTGGGACCACAAGAAGAAGAAACTGCACCTTGCAGGATTCCTGATTCAGGGGCTGCATCAGCAGCTGGAGTCTCCACCCAGTATAAACTGACCCACAAGGGGGGGATCCCCAGGTGGTCTGAGAGGGGCTGCCCCCCCCCCAAGAGGAAGTCAGAACTGGGCCAATGGCTACCTGTTTGCCAGGGAGACCCCAGGGGAGCAAGAGATGCTTTTATAAAAATCCAAATATGTGACCCTCCCTGGGGGCGCAGCGGGTTAAAGCACAGCACTAAGAAGCTTAAGCCACTTCCGCATGAGTTCGATCCCCACCTGCCCGGGAGGAGACCACATGGCGTGGCAGACCTCTCCTGAGCCCCCCGCTGCTCCCTCAGCAGTGTACTTAGTCCATCTGCCTGTTCTGCTCCCCACTCTGTCTCTGGTGAAGTCTTTCACCACCTGAGTCTCTGGCCTGTACCCTAGTTCTGTATGCACAAATAAATAAATCTTAAAAAAAAAAAAAGTCAGCCCCGTGCCAGGCTAATCCCCACACTCACACTTGATCCTTATACGTTGCAGAACTTCTCCAACCTTGATTAACCTTGCAACTAGAATCACAGCGAACCTGCCTCCCACCCCCTCACCTACCCACACTCATTCTAAAGAAGAAGATGCAACTGCCTTCCACTCGATCTGAAGCCTACCTTTTGGGAAAGGGCTGGCAGTCATAATGTGCAACTGTGCCAGCGGGAACCAAAGCTACAGAGCTTGGGGTATGGGAACACGCAGACCGGCGTAGGACCGGGATGAACGGTCAGCGGAAAGGATCCGGGGCGCTGAAAGCTAGCAGGGAGAGGTGCCTTTGTTTTTGAAGTGAGTGCAAGAATTGCTCAGGTGAGCCTTAAGGTGGGCGCTGATGGTGTTCCTTCCTGTGCTTTTAGAGCCTGGCCTTAGCGCCGCCTCGCCTCTTCCTGGAGGGACCAGGGTGCCCGAGCCTTCGAACGGCAGCAGCGGCGACCGCGCGCGGGGCAACCCCGCGGAGCAGCTCCGGCCGCGGCCCCGGCGGAAGCCGCGCGTGCTCTTTTCTCAGGCGCAGGTGCTGGAGCTGGAAAGGCGCTTCAAGCAGCAGCGGTACCTGTCGGCACCGGAGCGAGAACACCTGGCCAGCGCGCTGCAGCTCACGTCTACGCAAGTCAAGATCTGGTTCCAGAACCGGCGCTACAAATGCAAGAGACAGCGCCAGGACCGCTCTCTGGAGCTGGCCGGCCATCCTCTAGCGCCGCGCCGGGTGGCGGTGCCCGTGCTGGTGCGCGATGGCAAGCCCTGCCTGGCCCCGGGCGCACCCGCCTTCCCGAGTCCCTACGGCGCAGTCGGAACGCCCTACTCTGGCTACGGCGGCTTTGCGGGCGCTCCTTACCGAGGGGGCTACAGCGGCGGTTACGCGGGCGCACCCCCGGGGTCTGCACAGCCCGCAGCCTTGGCCAGCGCGGGCTTCGGCGGAGGCGGTCGGAGCACCAGCCCGCAGGAACACCTGCCCGCCGCGCTGCAGGGGGTCAGGGCCTGGTGAGGCCTGGACCTGGCGGCTTTCTGCAGGGCTGGGACCTTCGTCCCGCCAGTCTGCTAACGGGTCCCTGCGGGGAAAAGGGGATCTCGTAGTGGAGGGAGTTGGCGATCCTAAGGCTCGTCTCTTCCCACCGATCTTCCCGGGACTGCGAACTGCCGTCCGCCCAAGGTCCTGGAGCCATTCTTCCCCGGAGAGACTTGGGGTGGCCGTGGGGGCTCCAGCCTCCGGCGGAGCCGCGCTGGAAAGGGAAGCGAGGCGGCGGAGCAGTCCCCGGGCCGGGCCCGAGAGGCTTTCTATTTGTGCGCAGCAGTTGCAGGGCCTTGGGGGCTGAAGAGGGTGCTCTAGAGGACTGCTACCCTCCAGCTAAAGGCAACAGGGGCGGGGAAGGCTGCGAAAAGGCGAGGAAGGAGAAGAAGGACTGGGGGCCAGACAGAGGCACTATGTGGGGAACCACGGCCCCCTTGGAGGTTTAAACTGCCCCTCACCCTCCGAGGGTCGGTTCCCGGGTCTCGGTATTAACCCCACGGAGCACCCTCTCCTGGGGCCACGGTTGCTCTCCGGGAGGTATCCTCTTCACATCCTGGTTCTCCCCTTTCCTGTCCCTGCATTTTATCTCCTGTATACAGTTCAGCATCTGAGTAAATATACTAAACATACTTGCGTGTGCTTGCGTGTGTGGTTCATTAGAATTTATCCACTCCTCTCTTGCTTGCTCTAAACAACTTCAAATTAACGTAAAAGTGAAACCCAGATGTTCTGAGATCTCGGCACACGAAAGATTCCCTAGGAAGCAGAGGGGACTCGGCCAGAAGATAGGCTACCTGATTGCTTCACCATCCCCTGCCCCTTTTAGATTCTCCCAGAATGCAGTGGGCTTCTAAATTTCACTCCAGGAAAGGAAGCCCCCAGATGGCCATAAATCCTAAAATTAAGGATAGAAGACTGAATTTAGGGGGAATTAGGGGAACATTGACTCCCCTCCCCCAAATGCCAGAAGTGGTGCAAACTGAAGATTGAAAAGAAACTACTTTTATTAACGGAGCTTAGGTCAATGGGGGAATTTGTCTTTGGCAGCCCCTAATAGGAAATTTGGGGTTCTTGCTGATTCCTGCATTGTATTTTTACACAGCAGTTCTGCCACTTAGACCCCTAGATCACTGACTTGCCAAAAGTTAAATTTTGTTACTCAATAAGTTATAATATTTAATTAAAATGTACTGAACTTGCATTTTCTAACTTCTAAATATGCCCTGGTGTGGCAAACAAAGGCTGCTCGTTTCTATGTAGAGTAGACCTGACTAATGACACCTTCCGCCTCTTAAGTGTCGCATATTTAAACCACGGAAGAGAGGAATTGTACATATTTTTCATATTGCCACTTCCTTAGATTTTCTCTTCATTTTCATCCTTTCTGCTATTCCATTTTCACTGTTGATAAAAGTGCATTTTGAAAGGCCCTACAGTTAGTGTTGTGCCTTGAGATTTAAAAAATATGTATATTTTAAATTTGGAACTATTAATTTCTATTGGCTAGTCAATTAAATATGTATATTTTAAATTTGGAACTATTAATTTCTATTGGCTGGTCAATTAAACGAAGATGAATAAATAGAGATTACAGTTGAAATCGCCTTAAGAAAAGTGTCACCGTTCTTCAACACTGGGGCAGATGCCTGACAAGAAGTTACCCAAGGACTGGTCCTAGATTCACAACAGTGACAGCCATCTGCCTGCCCCCTCAGTGGTTACGTGAGTTGTATTCAGTTTTTCCGAGATCAGATTCTACATACTATAGATCAAATTTTTAGCAACCTTTGTTTTTTTGGATAAGGAAATTCTTTATCCTAGAAATGTAGATCATTGTGCTCAGAAAATGCTTGGCACCAAGCAGAAACTCAATAAATGTTATTTCCTTCACCCTCCACCCACTTCTGAGATAGAAAAGGAACTGAAGAAGCAGATTCCAGACTGGGGTGTCTGGATAGGCCGCGTACCCCATGATCTCTGCAGTATGTGGGACAGCACTGTGTGGAGGCTGTGAGTAAAGGGGAAAGAGGCCGAGCCAACTACTTTTGTTGAAGGTTCCTAGAAGGGACACAAGAGAAAAGAAGATCTCACCGCCATTCTTAAGGAATTTGTTATCTGGTTGGACACCAGAAACCTGAGAAGGTGTGTGAGGCTAACATGAGGTGTATGTTGTGTGTCAAATGGGACAGACAATAAGCCCTTTTTAGAAAGAAATGAGGCCCAGTGTGAGCAGGGTGCTTAGAGAAAGTGCCCAGAGGAGAGGGACTTACTATTTACTGGGAGAAGTTTCTGGAAAGGTCTAGAACTTTTGGAGAAATGTAAATGTCATGTACAGAAGCTACTCTTATTTATACAAGTCAAGGTTTGCTCTGCGCATTGGTAAAAACGTGTGTAGTTGTCTGAAGGGAATCAGGAAAGGGTGTGTTGCTCTCACCTACACTAAGGGCTTAGATGCTCTGCTAACCTGGGGCTCTTTCTGTTTTGCTCTCAAATTGTCTCCATATTTGCTGGCAAAATAACAACTACAAGGAACAACGAAAATCTTGTCCCTGTGTAATGTTTGTGGTGTCCCGGAGTCCCAACACACCAATTTCTTTCCTATTTCTTTGCAAAATGCAAAGCAAAAGAAAATTCTTTTCTTCCATCTCCCCGCTTCTTGCCTGTCAGGATCACTTTGAAGCACAGCCCTCTCCCAGCTCACCAGGCCCACCCGGCCGCCCATCCTGGCCCTGGAATCTCTCCTTTGCACTGAAAGCTGCCTCTTTGTGTGTCTTGCTCACCACAGCTTATCCGGGAAGGGGCTTTCACCAGGGAGCTGCTGAAGCCATCAGCTCCTTATCTACATCATTCAGGCCCATCACTCCAGCCACCTCTTAATGTTCACAAGTTCCCCAAATGGGAAGTAATTGACCTCTAAACAAAACAAAAAAAGCTCTCAGAGAGATAGCAGAGGTTCCTTTCCTGACTGTCCAGGGCTGGGGCTCACCTAGGCCAGGTGGATAAGTCAATAAAGTCGCAGACTTCCTGGCTCCCTGTCCTTCCTCTCCCCCTCCTGCCCCCTTCCAGCAGCTTCAGCCCGATACCATCTGCAAATCAGATGGAGCAGGAGTCTCCCAGACGGACTCTAGATCTCAGTTGCCAGAGAGTTCTTCTGGTATTTGTTTTTTTGTAATTTTCTCATGAATACGTAACATGGAGGGGACATATCGGAATCCTTTCAAATGCCATTTGAAAGTGTTTCCAGTCTTCAGTGTTTATACCAGCTCTTTATTATATCAGCCTGCCTACTGATCCTTCTTTTGTTTTCACAGAATAATGGAATCCCCACTTTCCCACAAGAAGCCTCTTCAGAGACAGGGAAGGGATAGAGGAACCCAGAGTTGGAGACTGCAAGACCTCATTCTCCTCCAATTATACTAGTGACCTACTGTGTGACCTTGGGCTTTACTTGTAAAATTGAGATGAATCTCTGAGGCTATTTTCAGATGGCTTTTTTTTTTTTAGATTGTAGGCTAGATTGTATATCCTTGAGACACAAAACATATCCTTGCAGTTTACAGAGTAACTGCAAAGTAAACACAGATGTAACCCCTCTCCAGGCAATAACAAGGGGTACAAGCTCCCCAGCAGCTCTCCTTCCCATGCCCCTCGCAGAATGCAACCCCCTTCTCTCCCTCCTGCCTTCCCCAAGGAGATACCCACTATTCCAACTCTGCGATAATAATTTACAGCTTCTCTTCATGGGCTTACCCATATGGACATTTCTCTCAACAAGATGGTTTAATTTTACTTGATCTGGATGTTACATAAATAGAATTGTACTGCATGTATTCTTTGAGACTTACATCTTTTATTCCACTTGAGATATATCCATGCTGGTGGGTGTAGTTGGTTTTAGCTGGCTCATTTCCATTCGGCATTGTACCCGTTTTGAATGCAAGTACCTCAAGACATGTATTTAGTGGAAATGGGGTTAATTTCCCCCTGGGCACCAGCACAAAGAATACTGCTGGTCATACCACCCCCCACGGGTCCACCTGTGCTCTGGCTGGAGTTTGTCCCCAGCCTGGCCTCCACGCACTGTCTTGCGAGGCAAGTTACAACCTTGGACAGAAGTAGGACAATTTCCTACTTCTGCAAAAAATAGCACTTATACCAGTCCACTCTTTGGATCTTTGTATGCCTCTGTGCTCAGCCCCAACTTGTGAGGCATTTTGTTCCCATTCACAGAAGAGGCCGAAGATCTGACAGGTGACAGCACAATGTGAGTTGGTGACAGACTGGACTAGACCCTGTCCTCTAGCCCTGGGTTGCTCCCCCAGGGCTCAATGGGGAATCCAAATCCTCACCCAAATGAGGGGCTATTGAGAAATGTGGTTTTCTTTTGTTCCCAGGGGGAAATCCATAAGCATCTTAGGAGCTCCTTGGGGAAAAGGGATAAATATGAAGCAAGATGCCAGAGAAGAGACAGGACTGCGTGACTGTCTTCAGAAACTATAGGCAAATGATATTTACAATTCTGTTTGCTTTCCCTTTGCCCATTACCCCCCCTCCCATCAGAATCCTGGCAGATGCTGACTCATGCTTTCAGAAGGCCAACTTCTGTGAGTGGGGAGAATTCAGCCCCAAGATATTTCTCTTTGCAGTCTGCCTTCCCCACCTCCCCACAGCAGGAGAGAGCTTCCCAGGAAGTCACTCTCTTTCTCCCTGACTATCTGTTTAGACTCCAGTCAGTTCCCCCACCCTCACATGGAGAGAAGGATGTGGTCTAAGTGACACAGTCCAGATTCGCTGTAAGAAAAGCCAAGATATGCCCAGCAGCCCTGCTTGCAGAGCTCAGTGTGCTTCCTAACTTAGTCCCTGCAGGCTGTCCCTACACGCTTGCCTCAGTCAAATCTGCTTCCTGGCCACCCATGCCTCAATTACTCCTCCAACTTCCTGTCATTCCAGTGACAGGCCTGAAACCCAGGCTACAG